ACAATGCTTTAAAAGTCTTTAGCTGGGAAGAAGTTAATAATGAAGCATTTCAAGGACAGTGTAATGGGAGTTTCTGCTTAAAATGTATGTGAAAGACAGGAGAGAAAGCAGGATGAATGGCAAAGTTGCAAAACAAGCTTTTGAGGTGCGATGATTTCAACCAAAGCCAGGCAGGAATGTGAGCAGTATTTAATATTACCGTTATGCTATTTTAAACAGATAAAGTAAGAAACACAAAAGGCGGGGAAGGAATAATGGAAACCAGGGATGTTGGTGTGACCCTCAGACTGAGAATTACAGAGCCTTTTTGAATTAAAAAGAAAAATAGAACCAGGCGTAGAGAATAATGAGTGATATGGAAAAGACCAGGAGGCTGGTCCTGTTTGTCCTGCATCGTGCTGTTAGGACAGGTCCTGGTTAATGAGTGGCGACAAATTGTTTTCTATCTACCCTGAGACTCCAAAAGGAAAAAGTGCACCTACTAAGGATTAAGGTGAGGTAGGTGGACACATTTTCTTTTTTGATTTTTGATTACAATGTAATATATTTGTAGACTTGTCTCTTCTGAAAGTCTTTAGAGGCTGGACAGACTGAAGGTTGACAATGTTTAAAATAAGTAACTGTGATGAATCTTAGTGTATTTTGCTGGTTAGACTTTGCTGTAATTGCCCCCAAGTAGGAAACCATTCCAGGAGGCTGGGAGCGATGAGAATGGCAAAGTTAGCACAGAAGAGAGGTCGAAGGGAGAGGCGGAGATCTGCGGTGTTTTGCAGGAAGAGTTACCCAGGGTAGCTGCAAAGCAACAGGGCACCGTTCAGGGAGTTCTGCGGCTCTCCTCACAGGATGATTTAAGCCTACGAGGCAGAGTCTCATCTGTTCGGGAAGCCGCACAGATGGAGAAGGACATGATTCTTCCAGCCCGTGTTTTGGTGAATACAATGGACAGCTAATCCTGAATCAAAGGGAATATCTTAAAAACCTTTTAAGAAGTCTAAGATTTCTTGACAACCAAGTACTGAATTATCTTATAGAAATGTTTTAAAGAAAAATCACATTAGCTAGCTCACTCATTCATTCAAAAAAATGGTAACTGATCTCCTAGGTGCTTGGAGCAGAGCTAATGCTTGACTGGTCCCACGAAGGAAACACAGCAGGTGTGGAGGTAGGAGTGATGGGTGGGGCTGGGGCAGGGGAGCCATCTGAGACCGGGGTTTCAGGGAGGACTTCTCTGGGGAGGTTGCATTTGACCTGAGACCTGAGAATGAGAAGGTTATAGTCTGAGGGCATCTCCAGTCACATGCCCCATGTTAGGTCAAGTGGCTTCAATTGAATGCTGCTCTTTTCAAAAATCTTAAATGGTGAAGCCTTTCTGTCAGTTTATGACAACTTTTAGAAAGCTTCACTATCCTGCTACTAAAGTTATAGCTTCATTATTTACAGGCATAATCCTTTATTAACGTGAATTTGCATCTATTTTAATGCAACGTAAACTTGATACCTACACCACTATAATTCCTAGTACAGGCTTATAAGAGAAGAACCATTTGTTAAATAAAATGTTCACAAACAATTTGCACGTTCAACTGTAGGGGGAGTGAATATTCATAATAAGAAAATTCCACTGCATAAAGTGAATGTAATGGTTACTAGGGACTTAGAAATTTGGAAATATCATCAAAATATAAATATATGTATATTATCAAGATTATATATTATTCTGTACTATTATATTAAATCATTAAAAAGTCTCAACTTTTCCTACAATCAGGTTTGAATGCTCAACATTGTCGTGCAATTTAACTAGAACAGTTTTCTAGATACAAATGGATATATTCATTTCTATAAAACTGTTGTCTTTTTACAGTATATTCAGTTCAGATCCAGTTTCTATTTCCACTAAAATAATTGCTAATAATACACAGACTCGATTTTATATGACTAATTAGAACAGTGTATGGGAAAAAATAGGTTCGCAGGTAATATTGAAATTAAATATGTTAATCTGTACCTCTGTGTGCACATTTTATATGAGCTTTAATTTGCCAAATAAATTATAGTTCTGTGTTTATAAGGTGCCCTTGAAAGAGTGTCCTATTTTTGAGCACTAATACCATGGGGAAACAAATATACAAAGCTTTTAGCTATAGGCTACACTTGCATAAATTAAAGCCAGAGCAGCTGGCTGGTAAGTAGGGCTATGATATCCTTAGCTTTTTAAACACTCTGAATTGTTAACACAAGTTTTTTAGTATGGTTACTAATATTAAGATAATAAATAATATTTAGTTTCAACATCGCACCCTTCAGCCGGGGCATAAATTCATTTTGAATGCTGTGCTGAATTAATGTATAATAAACACACTGCAGTTTGCTATCAGGAATTCTCGATGAGATGCAGGAAGTCGGTTCTTTGCTGAAGCATTAATGCTGCCAGTCTTGCTCTGCTTAATTTTGGCTGTTTATAAAGTCGCTCTACTGACAGTCCTCTATTTTAACGTGATTGTTTTAAGGTTAACCAGAAATGGTATGGCGTGTTTCCTGAAGCAGGTTGTAAGTAATGATGTAAGAACACGGATCCTTAACAAAAATCCCTTTCACCGTTTAGTCACCTGCAGCCAGGACATCCAGCTGCCTAACTGGGGGGACTGCGGTGGCCCCTGAGCGGCAGGGACCTGCAAAGTCACTGTGTAAAGCAGGAGCTGTTGAGTGTCTCACAAGGGAGGTGGATCTCAGAGGGCTTGTAAAAACAACGCTGCAGGTGGAGGTAGACTCTGATAGCTGTTGCAGCAATTGCCCCTACTTCTAAGACCAATGACAACTGTATTTAAAATGTCATTTAGTGTTGTCGAATAGGTTGGTTCTTCTTTGTGATATTTACTTTACACCTCATAGGAGTTTTGGCTTGAAAGTGGCTCTCGGTCCTGAATCCTGGTGAAGCAACACAGTGAATTTCCCAATAGCACCCAGGTGTGCAACTAAAGGAAGTAGCAAGGAAGTTTTCAAAAAGGAAAAATCTAGTATTGCTCTGTATCAGTTTGCTCGAGCTGCGGTAACAAAATATCACAGACTGGGTGGCTTAAACAACAGAAAATTATTTTCTCACAGTTCTAGATGGTGGAAGTCCAAGACTAGGGTGCCAGCGTGGTCAGGCTCCAGTGAGAGCACTCTTTCTGTTTTGTAGCTGGCCATCACCTTGTATCCTCACAGGAGAAAGACTGACGAGCTCTGGTGTCTCTTCTTAGAAGGACTCTAACGCTATAGGGTCACCTCTCCACCCTTCTGGCCTCATTTAACCACAATTACTTTCATAAAAAGCTCCTCTCCAAATACAGTCACACTGGGGGTTGGTGTTTCATATGAATGTGAATTTGGGGCAGATACAGGTCAGTCCAAAGCATACTCTAACTTATTTAATATGGGTTTTAAACAGGGGTTCATAATGCTTTTCGGTGCCAAAGATCCCTTTGGCAGTTTGATCAAGACTCCTCAGAATAAAGTTTTTAAATGCATAATGAAAACTACACAGCATTATAAAGGAAACCAGTTGTATGGAAAGGTGGTTAGCAAAATATTAGAACATTGTGATCTAGAAATATATGTTTCTTTATTATTAACTCATTAAATAACATGTTCTAGTAGTTTGTCTAATAACTACCATAAGTGTGATGTAGTTATGGGTGAAAATGGTATTTTAAAATATTTGTGGTCATTATAATGTAACTTTAAATGTTTGTGATTTTTATTGGTGACAAAATCACAGGTACTGCTAATACTATTGTGGTTGGTTCCTGGCATTCATAATGGAAGAAAACACAGCATTTTAATCAGAGGTTATGAAAATAAAAATATAATTTTTATTTCTATCCAAATTCAAAGACTTTTAAAATTCTATGCATAGATCACACGTTAAAAACCCCCTGAATAGGTCACTTTTTAAGATGTGTTTGCAATTTTAAAATTTGTTTTTATATTGGCAATGCTTGTGATCACAAAAAGTATGTCAGCTATTATTATACTTCATAACAAAGAATTATTCATGGTTTTTGTTACAGTAAAATTTGGTTTTAAAGAATATTTTAAAAGCTGTGGGTTTCAGCTGGGGCCGAATGGACTCCTGATTGGTGTAAGGTAAGGTTAAAGTGGTGAAATTATTTTAATAAGTAATCCCACTTATAAAGGGATTATTACAACATGAGAATCCATTTTTAAATTCGCTTGCCAGATACAGACATACTTCCTTTTTTGTAACTGACTGATTTAGGAAAGCTATATATTTTGTGGGCATTACTAAAATTCCCATCAAAGAAAAAATAAATCTGGGCTCCCTCCGTGTGAAAGAGTGTATGTATCCATAATTTTATCTTGCAGTCGTTTCTGAGCTTGGCCTTTCAGAAAAGGAAAATATGCAACCAAAAAGCAGAACTATTTTCTTCACTGGAGACAAAAGACTGCTTCTGGAACAAGCCAGCCTAAGAGGAGGCAGTGTCCTCAGGAAGCATGGGCTGGAGTGTTGAGAAGGCCTGCTTGAGTCAAAGCTCTAAGATGCCTGGACAAAGACTGTGGGTGCATTGAAAGGTGATTTAATAGCCAGCCTATCCTAAGGGGCAGAAGGCTGATGGCCTGGCTCAGTTACGAAATGCTTGAATCCAAGAGGTCTGTCCGGGCCGCCGTTTGCTTCAGAACCAGTACTGGCAAGGGGGGGGGGGGTGACAAGAAAAGCAACCAGGTCTATTGAGGCCGGGTTTGAGGACAGTGGGTCTTTTTGGGGAGATGGTCACTTAGCATTCGTGGCTTCCTATTTTGTGTTCCTGTCCCCAGAATCCACACAAAAAGATTTGGCTTCCTTATTTGTATCTATCTTTTTAGATATTTCATCATCAAATAGAAGAACCCACAGCTATAAGAACGATAATTTGTATGGCACCAAAAACTTGCTTAAGAAACGTTGTTTTTATTGGGTTCCTGGTTAGATGATAAAACTGAGACTCCTGAGGCTCAGGGGCTCGTGCAGGGCCTCCGAGCCGGGATGCTGCGGTGTTGGGACTAGAACCGAAGCTACTGGGGACTGAATCCCACGTCTTTTTTACTAGACTCTGTGGTCTTATGTAAAACCACCCTAAGGAATGGGTAGTAGCCTACAAGAAATCACATTTCAATCAATAGCCACTAAATCTATTTATTAAATGTTCAGTCAATGAATACTAATCCAAGGTCACAACATGACAGGTAAAATGCTCAGTACTGACAGTACAGTCATGAACAAAACAGACAAGATCTCTGTCCACGTGATGCTTACAGTCAGGTGGGGCAGGGGTGACAGTAAAGGGGGCCCATGTAAGAGGCTGCATGTGTGTGCGCAGGAGGGGCTGGGTCTTCTCAGAGTGTGGGTTGGTAACTGGGCGTACTGAGTTGTGGCCTCCATCAGGTCCTCCACACCACACATACACGCTGCCTCATCCTTCAGAATACGGCTTTGGGAGTCCTTCTGCCTCGGTTTGCATCCTTGCTTCCTCATGTACTTGCTACATGATCTTAGTCAAGATTCTTAGCTTCCCTGTCCATCAGACTCTTCATCTGTAAGATATGATAACAACAGTGTTGTTATGGTACCAAAACTTATGGTAGACGTGTGGTGAGAGAATCTATCTAAAAATTGCATAGAGTGGTCCCTGGTACATGGTAAGTACTTAAATAAGTGGTAGCTGTTATGCTTGATGTTGTTCATTCTTGCCTTGTTTCTCTGAATATGCTCTTTAGCTTGCCCTGGTCACTGTCCACAATTAGTCCTCGCTAATCCTGACCCCACCTGCCACCCTGTCCAGGCCCTGATGTTTTGACTTCAAAGTGGGGAGTGTCTTTGTAAATCTTACATCAGTGTGATCGGGTCCATTTTATAAAGCTTTGCCTAATATCCCAGTTAAGACTCAGCTTTCTTTTTACCTTTCTTTTTTTAAAGGAAGCAGAGATGGGCCTCGTATCTTTGTTGAAATTCTGCAATATGCAATTTGAAGTCAGATTGACCTTCAAGCTGACAAAGTAAAATAAACAGTTTTATAAATGAAAATTGCTAATCTGAAATAGATCACAGCTAAGAACTTCATTTTTTATTCATTCTCTTCATACAAGGGTGATATACAAGTGAACATCTAATATTGTACTTCACTGTGGGGCTCACCAAGATGCAGTTAGAGGAAATTAAGGACACGATGAACTGGCAGAAACGAGAGACTATATCTGTGGTCCCTTATTTCAGAGAGTTATTATGTTTAAATGTAGGTATGCCTAATTAAAAAAAAGTTACTACAGTTTTACAGTTGGATTCTTTTTCTTTTGAATAGTTACTAAAATTTTACTGTTGGTTTCCTAGAAATCAACTTAAAGCGACAGTTTAATCTGTTTTTATATACAGCAGCACACCACATACTTCAGGAAAACCGCATGAAGGTACATAATGTTAGATGCTTCAAACTCATTCCTCTTAAAAAGTACTATGTAGTAATTCCAGTCCCCCCCCACCCCAGGAAAGAACATGTATTAATTGAGCCCAAATATTTACCAGAGAAAATATACTGAAAGAAAAAATGAAATTTTGCAGTAGCATGAGAAATAAATCACAGGATCTAAACACCTCCTCGTACTTGCCTGACAGCTAAGTCTAGGACCTCTGGACAAAGGAGGTGCTTTGAGAGTGATCTAAGGGCCCGAGGCTGTGAGCCACCGCGCAATCTGGGCAGCTGGCCCTTGTTCTGGTTCTGCATCTCAAGTTCAGGGAAGACCATGGACCAGGCTGCGTTAGCGAGGAAAGGTGAGTGTGATAAATAAGCACTGCACTCACGCCTGACTAGACTGTACTGAACTGTGCAGTCATATTATATATGGTATGACACCGAGATTGATGGCTCAGAAGAGGTGGTCCCCTGCACATTTCCAGAGCAGCCCCCATCTCTGTGCAGATACACCCCCCCCACACACACACACTCTCATGCACAGACAAGGCTGAGCCTGTAGGAGGGCAGTTGAACTTTCTAAAGCTCTGATGAGACCCTCTCTCACTCATGTGTTGTCATCTTTGTTCTGGATTTTGGGTCCAGAAGCGTACAATGATGACTGTCATGGGAGTCACTGTTTCTCTCTTTGTTCTAATTTTCTTCTGTATATTTTAGAAAAGTGACTGTTCTTGCTTCACCCAAGTGGTGCCCCGTCCAGTCTTTCTATCAAGCTGAATACAGCAACATGTAATAAAAGTTTATTGAACGGAATTATACAATCTAAGGTAAAAAATAGTGTGCTTAAATGATGCACTATTCAAATTTAAGCACTGCTAAACGTATATCTAACTAAATTAAACCTCAAAATGCATGGCAATTGAAAAAATAGGGGGAAATTCTGGAAATGGTATTCTAATAGAGAGATAGCTAATACACGGAAACTGGACAGTTACTGACCTAAATTCATATCAGAAAGTCCTACCTTCTTACATATGCTTGGTATTCTTGGAACACTGGGTTCCTGTGATGTGTTGTTATTTCTTTTCACTTTTTGTGTTCACTTTCCAAAAGGGAGACAACCAAAATATCACCGTTGATTTAAATCTCTCCGGAGACACCCAGTCCCACTGATCGTCTCTTCCCTCTGATTCTTCTCTGCAGAAATTCAGTGTCCAGATGTTTCAGAATCCAGATGGCCTATGAATCCTCTATCACCCAGAAAGGAAGAAAATGTGCATGAAAGTGGAACATTGAAAAGAAAAAAAAATAATTTAGTACTGGCGATGTAACGGCGACATATACAGAACTCAAGGAAAAGCTTTCTTTCCTCAAAGCAGCAACTTAAGGAAACACAGAGGCTCTATCAGCAAGCCAGATTTTCAGCCTTGCCTCTTCTTCCCATCACCATTAAGAAAAAAGAGGCTTGCAGAGATCCACACTGTTTAAAGGGCAGACAGCATGGAAGAACTATCATGTACAATTTAAAGTAGCAGCTAAAATTGGAATGGTCACAAGAAAGCCTGTTTCTTTGCAATTAAATTGACAAGCTGTCTCTGATTACCCGAGGGAACTTGGCAGCTGAGTGATAAAAAGACTGCAGAGTGTTGAAAGGGCTAACTCAACTTACTAGATGGACAAAGACCACATCTGCTTAATACACTGACCTGGGAGGGCCGTGGAAGGTACTCGGCTAAGTTAGCCGAGGAGGGACACTACTGATGCGATACCTTTTCCTCTCTAAGGCCCTCTGCTCAAAAGGTTTCAGAAATTACCCACAAATATTTGGAAGCATGCCCTGGAGTATAGTTTAGTACAATACCTGGTGTTATTTGGTACGAACCTCCCACTATGAATCACTAGAAGTATAGAAGTTTAGGAAGAAATGAAAAAAACCCAAACCTTTCCATTAAATGTTGATGCAATTTGTATACACTTGATATAAAAACTGGGTAACCAATAGAAGATTTACAGTGGCGTCAACAACGAAAGTGTTGAAAGGACATGGATGATTTGATGCAAAATATTAGACAAGAATTACACGGGGTTTTCATTGTTGGGGGTCCCTTGGGTTGAGCAAAGCTGAAACTTCAGTTATAAAGGAAAAAAACAATAACCAGATTTTGGGTGGTAGCAACTTGTGAAGACTAACCCACCCACTTGAGCAACATCTTAATTTTAGTGCATTCCTTAAAAGGGCAAATGTACATAAAAATGTGAGGGTTTCTTCTGACACAGTTCACAGCTATTGGCAACACCCTACGCTAAGTGAATGAATGACGTCTATGTCTGCTGCCTATCTGTTCTTTCCAAAGGCTGCGGGCAGGGTCATTCAGCAAATGTGGCAAATGATTTGTGACTATTTCCAAAGTAGGATGCCCTGAGCAGGATTTCTGGAGCAGAAGCGCATTGTATGCTACTTTGGCGTTCACTTCAAAACCAGAGCTTCTTCTCAGTTAGTTGGCCAGTGTTGGCTGGTCTTTGAGATTGTGTGGTACTTCAACAAAATTATTCAAAGCTCAAAGTCATTCAAATGCTCAATGACTTCAACATGAGACAAAGATTCCTCAATGGTTCATTTGGATTAATGAAACCATACCTTATATTAGTATAGCACATTACATTGATGGTAATTTTTTTGCATCCAAAGTCACCTTTTTTTCTTCCCCATAACAACTCTGCAGAGCAGATTTTGTTGCCCCCATTTTAAAGATGAAGGAAGGTAAGCCCATTAAGGGTAAGTGAATAACTTGCCTGAGGTCACGTAGTAACTGGCAGAGCAGAGCCTCTTTGCAATGCAGTCAAAGGAAGACAGGGAGCAGGGTCTGACTGGAGCAGAGCACGAGATGTTTAAAAGAAGTCCTTCATTTGCAAAACCTAAGTCAACACATTTGTGTAAACTGAACGTTCAAACTTCCCTTTTGGGATAACTGGATTAGATGATACACGTCTGCAGATGCCTTCGGCCAGACTCCTAAGAATCTGAATCTAATTATTGAGGAAAAAAATACTTGTACTTTACCTCCCATCGTGTAGCAGGTTATGCACTCATGTGCTCATTACTTGCTTTTTCTAAGAAAATGTGCGCGTGCTAAGAGGGCTGCTATGACATTGCTTTTTCCAAACATCCCCACTGCTACCAGCTAGTACGATGCCTGGTAGAAAAGCAGGGAGGGATAAATGCTTTTTACACAAATTATGATTTCTGACAGGCAGCAATCAAATCTTGCTCCAAAATAACAGTTTTCGATTCATCCAACTCTTGATAATCCACAGAAATAGGAACTAGGAATAGCCTGGATAATTGAAATGCACAGACAAATGCACACTTCATTTTACAAATAGCTTCAATCTCCTCCCTCAGCAAACTTTTAACTACAACTAATAACATAATTAGGTTGACTGGTTTGAGGTTTGTTGCCCCCCCATCCCTAACCCCCACCCCCATTCTGGCTGAGGTACTGCTGACTGGAAAAAAATGGTTTATGAAAAATAGGTAACAGGATAAATAAAATCAAGAGTTGATTGAAGTAAAACATCTCTTTGTTTTATTTTGACAACTGTGATGTGTACATGTTGGTGCTTAACAATGCTTTTTAATGATAAGGATATACAATGATAAAAACACATTGTTCATCCTACTCATCCTTTCACATCACTGACTCAGATCCCAATTCCTGAGGTCGGTCGCTCAGATATCTTCATACCTGTCTTGTGTATTAAACCATCACTGTGTGTTACCCATGCATTTATTATAAGCCCACAAATAAACTTCCAGCAGTGAGGATGCAAAACCCTTTAAAATATTGCATAGTGTGAGATTAAGATCCAGCATGAAGTGAAGTGTAATATCTTTGGTTATAGTAACACTGGGCGTCTTGACAGCTTTTAAAAATGGCCAGGCCACTTGAAACATTTACAAATATGCTACCTCTTTACCCAAGGAAAGTATGGAGATGTCACATCTCATATGGAGATGAAAATTATTTGACACCTTTATTTTACAGCAGTGCTACGTTGCATGTAAATACAGGGTAGTTGCACGCATTAGTGTGTGGGCCAGCACCTTCTAGAACTGCAGACCCTCAGCACTGGTCCTCTCCCCAGTATCCAGTTTTCCTTTTTAACTAACCAAGGTAATTGGGATTTGCTTGGGACAGCTATGCGTCCCGTAAAAATGTCTCACCTCCTCAGATTCCTTTACAGCTAAAGCCATGAGACCTAGTTCCAGCCAATGGTACGTATGAAGAACTCTACTGGGTGAGGCTCTTGGCAAACTGTTGTTTTTCTATAAAAAAGGAGCAAACTCAGCTGGCACATACTTTTTGCCCTTCCTTTTTGCTGCTTGGAATACACAGTGCCTTGGAGTAAAAATCTGTTTTATTTACAATAAGATGGTAAAGGGGCCACCTTCTGACCATAACAAACAACAAAGAAAAACTAAGGATGACAGAAAAGAGAGAGGAAACTGAGTCTTCTGTAGAATTGCAGGGTGACTGGGCCAGCCCTGGCCCACTAACTGAAAAGCAGATTCCCACTCGGTTAAGCCAGTTGAGCAGGGTTCCTGGGCCAAACAGGTGAAGGCAATAAAGTCTGATCCACCAGGTTTGTCAGAGTGCAGTTTCTGAGAATACGGATTCCTAGAACTCTGCTTCGGCTGTGACTCTTACGCTCTCTCCACCTCCTTCAAGTCATGACACACTCCAGTCAGAGTTACTGGATGGTCATTCATTTGTTGGCCAATCCTCTTAGGCTACAGTGATGTTTATAATCTATTCATAAAGTCCAAGAACTTCTAATTGTCTGATAATTTTTACATTTGCTCTTAGACTGATCTTTCTTCCTTCCTCCCTCCCTCTTTTTCTCTCTTCTTTCTTTTTCTCTTTTCTTTTTCTTTTTCTTTCTCTTTCCTTCCTTCCTTCCTTTCTTTCTTTTTCTTTTCTTTCTTTCTTCTTTCTTTTTCTTTCCCTCTCTCTCATTCTCTCTCCTTCTCCTTCACTCCCTCCCTTCCTTTCTTTTCTTTTTTGCACAAAGCGTTTTTGAGTTTTATTTTTTCCCTGGGTTTGGAGAGTCATCTTAACATTCATGCATTTGAAAACAATAACAGGATCTTGAATTGTTCCGAGCAGACATCAGACAAGCATGTGGGGTTGAAAATTCCTATTTAAAAAATGGAAATTGCAATGGGAAATTTGAGAAGTCACAAATGGTGGGGTGGCAGTTCATCCTGCTCCCCTAAAACTGAGTCTAAACTTCATTCACATTTTTTGATCACAGTGGTCTGACCTGCTGCTGGGGTGTGCTGAGCAGCACCAGGCTGTCCCCGGAGGTCCTCACCAAGTGGCTCTGAGCACGGGGAAGGCACTGCTTTGGCGTTTCCTCCCCAGCCCTCAAAAGATCTCAGCATGACTTGCTGGAGACAGCTGACTCCCCTCCTCCTTTTGGAGGCTCACCTGGTAAGCGGCACGTTTCAGAAGAAGGGCAGGGCTGCGCGCAGGCCCCTCCAGGTGGCTGAGGAATCTGGAGGCGGTCTGAGTGTGTTCTCCCTCGGTTCCTGTGCCCGGGACCCCTCCCCGCACTTCTGCCAGTCAGCAGTGAGGTCCCCGGGGCCAGGGAAGCCACAGCTCTGAGGCCAGAGCCCCCTGGGTTGTTTGAGCACACTGTCCCTGTCGGCCCCTGATGTCGGAGCAGCTCAAATGCTGGGGATTATTGCTGATTTTCTTTTTCTTTCTCCCAACTTGAATTGGTAAAAAGACAATTAGGGGAGTGGGATTGGCTACTGAGAAAAGCCCTGGGTCTTTGGTTCTTAGACCAATATCTTAATGGCATCTCAAGTCACCATAAAATTTATAATATAATATCCAGAGTGAAACATCTATATATTTAGGCGTACACATACACACATTTGAAATAGATCTCATATATACAGCACTCTAACAAAGCAATTTCCTCCAGCTCAGTGCTAAACAGAGCATGCCTGGGATTTTTTTTTTTTAAACGTAAGCCGTATGAAAGAGTGTGTTCTATGGAATCATGCAGAATTAAACTGTGATTGCCAACAGCCTCCTGGAACTGGGAGTCAGTGAATTTTCTACTACCTGTTGGAGATGGGGACTATTGTAGGACGATGGCTGTGACTGGAAAGGGATCATCATGAGGTTCACAAGG